ATACTTTGGACATGTTATCAGGAGGGATGAGTCCCTGGAGAAGGACATTATGCTTGGTAAAGTAGAGGGTCAGCGAAAAAGAGGAAGACCCTCAATGAGATGGATTGATGCAGTGGCTGCAACAAAGGACTCAAACATAGCAACAATTGTGAGGATGGCACAGGACTGGGCAGTGTTTCGTTCTGTTGTACATAGGGTGGCCATGAGTCGGAATCGACTCGATGGCGTCTAACAACAACAATGGCAGATGACATATGTCTCTTTCAAACCTGACCCCTAAAAATCCTCCACACTTTCATTCCTCATCAGTAGACCAGATGAGGAAACAATGGAGGATTTGGGGGCCCCCTGTGATGACAGCCATGACAAGGATCTGGGTCCCAGAATGCGTGAAGGTGCATGGAGCACAGCCCCCACTCCTATTTATCTGTACTGGACTGTGATGCAAGCAAGAAATAGCTTTCATTGTGTTACATCCCCAAGATTTGGGGGTTGTCTGTTAGAGAAATTAGACTACCTTGATGAATACAGACCCTGTTCCCTGGTGATTGCTGACTGGACTGAAATAAACATTTGAACCAAGATGGGCCAATCAGATCTTCCTTCCTGGAGTCTGAGAATGGGATTTGAAGACAGGTAGTAAATTGGGGAGGTACAGGGCAGTCATGATTGGAGAAGCTGAGAGAGTGGCCTGAAAAGGGAAAAGAATAGAGCAGATGTGCAGGGTTCGGAAGACTTCCCAGTCTTGGTTCCAACTGCCCATGAAGCCCAAGTATACTTCCTGATCTTGGGCTCTATGGGAGGCCCAGTTGAAATCAACCCCTCTTTGTTTGGACTAGCCTAAGTAGGTTTCTGTTACTTGGGGAAAGAAAGGATTTTGACTAAGACAGCCACACTGCCTTCTAATATCTTATGATCTTGGAGGCTAAATTTAAATTGTCCAAATACAGAGTGAAGTTAGAATATAGAAATTATCCAGTTCATGTGATTGTGGCAAACACCCACAATGGTGGCTCAAAGAATATGCACACTAAAGTTTGAGCTTTATGGATCCCAAAGACGCACCTAAATTTATGTATTAATTCAAACACCTTCTGATCTTCACTTCATTCTTCACGAGGAGACCTAGCTCAAGCAGGTAGAGGAAAGTAATATTATCTTCCTTTACCCAGCTGGAAGCAGGCTTTCAGAGTTTGTAGAAAGACTCATGGGGGTTTATTATTTGCATTTGTAATTCAAAGTCATGAAAACTTGAGGGCAGTCAGTTTTATTTTTATAACGTTGCTAAAAAAAAAAAAAAATCCCTAAATATTACTCGATTTTACTTTTGAGTTTTCTTTATCCAGATTCCTTTTTTTGAGACACACACCCATTGCCGTCAAGTAGATTCCAACTCATAGTACCCCTATAGGACAGAGTAGAACTGCCCCATAGAGTTTCCAAGACTAATCTTTACAGAAGCAGACTGCCACATCTTTCTCCTGTGGAGAGGCTAGCGGGTTCAAACTGCTGACCTTTTAGTTAGCAGCCCTGTGCCACCAAGGCTCCTTTTTTAAGATACATAGCTCCTACTCCTTTTGAACCCATATATTCTCAAAAACAAATATGACCGTGGATCACTATGTAAAGGGTCTAAATGTGAATAATGGAGTCCCTGAGTGATGCAGACAGTTTAGCTCTTGGCTACTAACTGAAAAGTTGGCGGTTTGAACTCACTCAGAGGAGCCTTGGAAGGAAGGCCTGGCGATCTACTTCTGAAAGATCACAACCATGAAAAGCCTATGTAGCGCAGTTATACTCTGAAAACACATGAGGTTGCCATGAGTCGGAATCAACTTGATGGCAGTGGAGCCACTAGGGTTGGTATCACCCAGTGTGGTAACTCATGGTGTCACCTGCCCCATGCACCTCCTCTCGAACCAGACCATACAGAATCCTTAGTAATGTTTTTTGTACTAATGTTACTCATAAATCGAAATTCCCATATATCACTCCTTCTTTTCCTTTAATTACTACTTCATTCTCAAAAAAGTTATTGATATAGGGTCACAAATACTGATTACCACAATACTGTAGCTAACACACCAGAAAATTTGACCAGATCAGGGACTATGAAAACACTGGCAGCAAATAAAACAACAGCGTGTGCTTGTAGGGTGTGCAGATGAAACCACGTGATTCAAAGCATCATTGTAATTGGGTAATACAGACAGCTCTGACCAGAGCACATCAGATGGTTCAAAAAGTAAATGAGCATAGAATTTTAGCCTTGTGGGTATACTGATACACATAAGCTGGGCTTACAAAAAAGGTTTTTGTTGTTATAACTAACTGCAGGGAAATTTTTATAGACAGTCATTTTGGTGTCACCCCCTCTGACAGTGTCACCTGGTGGGGTCCTCACCCCCGCACCTCCCCAGTGACGCCATTGCTGGATGGCAGCTGTATGTGAATAATAGCTAATATGTAACATTTATTGGGTACTCACCATGTACCAGGCATTGTTCTAAGCGGGAGGGTGTCAAGCTTTTTGGTAAAGAGCCAGATAGTAAATATTTTACTTCGCAGACCATGCTGTTACAACTACTCACCTTTGCCATTATAGCACGAAAGTGGCAGTAAGCAATATGTAAATTTATTTTTTAATGCTTGTATCAATATTATGTAAATGAATAAACATGGCTATATTCCAATAAAACTTATTATGAACAGTGAAATCTGAACTTCATATAGTTTTAACAAGGCATGAAATATTATTCTTCTTTTAATTTCTTTTCACTCATTTAAAAATGTAAAAACCATTCTTAGCTCAAGACATACAAAAACAGGCAGTGGGCCAGATTTTCCTGGCCCCTGTTCTAAGCTCTTAAAATGTAACATCTCACTTAATATTCATATTATCCCCTTAAACTAGGAACTATTATCGTTTCCATTTTACAGATGAGGAAAGTGAAGCATAAAGAGGTTAAATAACCTGATTCTTCACAAAATGGGAAATCAAGAGATGAAAACAAATGAAGATTTGGAAGTATTCAATCTTAGCAAACTGAACTTTTGCTTATATACCTACAGCTTTCTGTAAAACTTCCCAGACAATTTTTCTGCTGGACTGTGAAAGAAAAAGGATCAGACCAGAAAAAATTTAGCGGAAACCACCTTAATTACCTGGTAATTTAAGTTTAACCCATTTAGTAAAGCTACAGAGTATATACACTGATATACTAAGAGGAAAAAGAATCTAAGTGGTGTCCACCTCAGAGTTAATAGAATTTATAGAAGTTATTTTTTTCAGAGCATATTACCATTCAAAATCTTAAGATATATTTTGTTAAGGCTACCAGTTGCCATCGAATCAATTCTAACTCATGGCAACCCCATATGTGTCAGAGCAGAACAGCTCCATAGGGTTTTCAATGGATGATTTTTTGGAAGTAGATCACCAGGTCTTTCTTCTGAGGCACCTCTGGGTAGACTCAAACTGCCAACCTTTCAGTTAGCAGCCAAGTGAGTTAACTGCACCACCCAACCTAGGGACTCCTTGTTAAGGCTAAAACAATTCTTTTCTCCGTCATCTTCTACTAGACAATGAGCATCCCCAGGACAGACATCATAATTCATTAATTTCTCAATTCATTCATTCACTCACCAGTCAATCAAACATATACTGAGGAATTATGGTTGTCAGATGAGGTACAATAGTTAAAGGTCCACTTTTTTCCACAAGGAGCTCATATATGTAATGAGCACTGAAACGAAGGCAGAACTGGATGCGATGGGAAGGTAGAGGAGGGGCACCTTAGAAGGTCTGGGAAGGCTGTTTGGCAGAAGCACAAAACCTGGCACAGAACAAACCTGTTCCCGACTCATAGCGACCCTACAGGGCAGAGCAGAATTGCCCCATAGGGTTTCCAAGGAGCAGCTGGTAGATTCAGACTGCCACCCTTTTGGTTAGCAGCCAGAGCTCTTAACCACTGAGCCACCAGGGCTTCACAAGCTCTAAATAAATGTTGCTGTTACCTGAATTAATAAATAAATGAACAAATAAGAAAATATTTGTGGAGTGCCTATCTGTAAGAGAATAACAGCTTGAAAATCAAGTCAGACTCATGTTGCAGTCAGACTGCAGAGAACTCTGAATTCCAACCACAACACTGTGGTGTTTGGACTTCGTTTGGTAAGTCAAATTTTCAGTGCCTTACTAGTTCTGCTTCTCTGGTTGAACTCTGACTGATATAAGCATTAAAACATAATTTCAATATATTACATATATTTTTACATACATTCCATTGTCCTCGAATCAATTCCAACTCATAGCGACCGTAAAGGACAGAGTAGAACTGCCCCATAAGGTTTCCAAGGCTGTACATCTTCACAGAAGCAGACTGCCACACCTTCCTCCCATGAAGCGGCTGGTAGGTTCGAACCACTGACCTTTCAGTTAGCAGCTGAGCGCTTAACCACTGCACCACAGGGCTCTTTTCTTATATACATAGTATATTAAATCTAATTCACTGTATGTATATACCTATTTTCTGATTTGTTCTACCACGTCCAGTCAATATGCCAGGTTTCAGAAAGCTGAGTTTAGAATGTTCTTCAATCCATTTCTTCAAAGCCTGAAAATGAAAAGCAAATTATCAATTGGACACTAGTAAATCCATATTAATGCAGTATCAAAATATACGCATGAAGAAAAGAAACTTAATGTTTAAGTTAGTACACAGACATTTTTCAGACTAACAAACATGAGGGAAAAGACTTCTTGGAATTGAACTCTATGCAATAATTAACTAAAACGGTACAGATCTTTGTGACGTTATATGATTTGATCTCCAAGATATTTTTTAAGTGAAAAAAGCAAAGTTCAGAATAGTGGGTGTGTAGAACTAACAAAGTGAGTTTAACAAGATTTCAGGACACAAGAGCAATATACAGAAATCAGCTGTATATGTATAGACTAGCAACAAGCAATTGGAATTTGTAATTTTTTCAAAATACCATTTATAATAGCATCAAAAATTAATACTTGAGTATAAATTGAACAACATATGTGCAGAATCTATATGCTGAAAATGCTGATAAGAGAAACTAAAGAAGATATGGTAGTTAGCCTCTAAGGTAGCCCTCAATGATCCCCACCTCCTGGTATTCAGGTCCTGTGTCATCCTCTCGAGTGTGAACTGGATTTACTGACCCACTTATATAGAATATAATATAATATGACATATGTGATAGGATGTCACTTCCAAGATTAGACTATGACTGTGGTTTCCATCTTAGGCACTATCTCTCACTCTCTCTTGAATCATTCACTTTGGGGGAAGCCAGCCGCCATATTGTAAGGCAGCCCTGTGAAGAGGCCCACGTGAGTGAGCTTGGAAGCACATCTTTTTTTTTTTCTTTTTTTCACCCAGTATTGTGTACTGTCTTACCCTTCACCATAGTTACCACTTATCTATTGTCTAGTTAGTGTTTTTCCCTCCCTAACCCTCCCCTCCCTTGTAACCATCAAGGATTGTTTCTTTTTGTGTGTAAACCTTTTCATGAGTTTTTATAATAGTGGTCTCATACAGTATTTGTCCTTTTGTGATTGACTTATTTCACTCAGCATAATGCTCTCCATATTCATCCATGTTGTGAGATGTTTCACAGACTCATCATTGTTCTTTATTATTACGCAGTATTTCATTGTGTGTATGTATCATAGTTTGTCCATTTATTTGTTGATGGGCACTTAGGTTGTTTCCATCTTTTTGCTATTGTGAATAATGCTGCAATGAACATGAGTGTGCATATGTCTATTCGTGTGATGGCTCTTATTTCTCTAGGATATATTCCTAGGAGTGGGATTGCTGGATCATACGGTATTTCTATTTCTTGCTTTTTAAGGGGAAGCACATATTCTGAGGCCTGCCAATAGCCATGTTAGTGATCTTGGAAGTTGATCCTCCCCCAGTCAAGCCTTGAGATGACTACAGCCATGGCCAACACCGTGACTGCAGCCTCATGAGAGATCCTGATCCAGGAACATCCAGTTAATCTGCTTCCAGATTCCTGATCCATAGATATTTTAAGATGATTAATGCTTGTTGATTCCAACCACTACGCTCTGAGGAAATTTGTTACACAGCAGTAGATAACTAATACAGAAGCCCTATTTAAATGAAGACACATACTATGTTCATGGATTGGAAGAATTGCTACTGTTGAGATGTCAGTTAGTCCCAATGCAATCCCAAACAAAAACCCAACAGACTGTTTAACAGCTATGGACAAGCTGATTCTACAATACATTTAGAAAGGCAAAACTAGAATAGCTAAAACAATTTTAAAAAAGAAGAACAAAGTTGGAGGGCTCAACTACCTAATTTTAAGACTTACTATAAAGCTACCATAATTACAACAGTGTGGCATAGGTAAAAAGATAGATGTGTAGATCATTGGAACAACTGAACAATGGAATAATGTCCAAAAATTGAGCCACACAAATAGAGTCAACTGACTTTTGGATCAGTTACTAAATTACAAAGGCAATTCAATGGAGGAAGGGTAGTCTTTGCAACATAAAGCAGTGGAATAATTTATGTGTACACACACAAAAACAGCATCTCAACATATACCTCACATCTTATACAAAAATTAATTCCAAATGGATCATAGACCTAAATGTAAAATATAAAAGTATAAAACTTCTAGAAGATAACGTAAGAGAAAATCTTTGTGACCTTGGATAGACAAAGGGTTCTTAGATAACTACACCAACAGCATGATCCATAAAAGAAAAAAATTGATAAACTGGACTTCATCAAAATTTAAAGTCTTCAATCTACAAAAGATACTGTTAAGCGAATGAAAAGACAAGCAACAAACCAGGAGAAAGTATTCACAAATCACATTTCTGACAAAGAACTTTTTGTCAGAATTTTAAAAGAACTCTCAAAAACTCAAAAATAAGATAATAAACAACCTGATTTAAAGAATGGGCAAATTATCTGAACAGACGCACCACAAAGAAGATACATGGATGGTTAATAAGCATATGAAAAGGTATTCAACCTTATATAGTCATTATGAAAATGCAAATTAAAACCCTATTGAGAGACTACTACACAACCACAGAACCACTAAAATACAAAAACCTGACAATGCAAAATGCTTGCTCTACAGGTATCAAAACTTATTATAAATAAAAGTATTAAGACAGTAAGGCATTAGTGTAAGGACAAACTAATAGATAATTGGAGCAGAATAGAGAGCCCAGAAACAGAACAACACGTATATGGATATTTGATTGCAGAGCAGTGAGGAAAGTACCTTTTTTTCAATAAACGGTACTGGGTCAATTGTTTATCAACAAAGAGTAAGAAAACTTACATCCACAAGTGCCCTGGTTTTTACAAAGAGAATGGTTCTTGATTCTGGGTTTAAGTGGTACTCCTCTTGCAAGATGAAGCAAAGGTCTTTGAGTTTAGGGTTCTCATGGCTGGGATCCATAGAAACATCTTCTAGTTCCTGCAGCTTTTCTGTAAAAGGGGAACATTTTATAAATGGCTTATAAATTCTAGAACACACTGTGACCTTTTGCTACCGCTCAAATGATAAATCTCTAAATTTTTGATGAGAATTTTATGAGAAATAACCTGTAAGGTAGAATACCAATTTAAATTGGTACAGTCTTTAAGAAGGCAATTTGGCATTATCTATCAGAACTTAAATCTCACACATCCTTTGATCCTGTAATTCTACATTTAGGAACTTAAGCCATAGTTATATTTAGAAAACTATGGAAATATTTCTAAGGATGTTCACTGTACTATTGTTTAGAATATAAAAGAAAAATAGAAAACAACTAAATGACCAACACTAGGGCAATAGTTTAATAATCATGGGCTAAGCATTTAATATTAATATAATATGACTTAAAAATAATGAAATACATGTATATGTTGATGTGGAAAGATCTCAATGATATTTTAAGTAAAAAAGGTCAAGGTATGAGACAGTATGTTCAGTATGATCCCATCTTCACAAACACAGTTATAAAACAATGGTGTGCTAGAGTCAAGGCCTACCAGGCTACGAGAGCCGACTGTTAAATTTTCAAGAATTGTATGAGCTGCTGCACCGGATTTGGGAAAAACCTCTCTGCCTTTTACCTCCTCCCTCTGCACTCTGCACCGGATTTGGGAAAAACCTCTCTTCCTTTTACCTCCTCCCTCCCCGCTCTGCACTGGGAGTCCACTGGGCCGGAAGTAGATCCCAAAAGACACCCTGACCCATTCTCCTGGCCTTGGAGAGGGAACAAACAAGCTGCTGGCTCCCCTAGGCCAGGAACACAGGGTTGGCACAGCTCCTTTGCTGGCCACAGAAATCAGGAGTCCACAGACTCTGAGTGCCTTACACCCCTGTATAGACTTGTGGGGACCCATCTCAACAGTGTTGCACTAGTTTGATTTTTGACACCTTTTGATCTCTAATATCCTGTCACCAGGTAGTTAGTTCTGTAACTAAGTATGTGCACACCGGAGTCCGTTAAATTTTCCTATATAGGATCAGCTCGGGTGTGCAGGCAGTCGGTCACCAAGTGTGTGATGCAGACTCTCACCCCCAGTCCTAGAGAGGCATGGGGGTACAACAGGGCAAACATCTGAAGTTTAACTTCAACTGCTTCAGCTGCGAACGGGCAGATTTGTGACCCTCGAAATAGCCCTGCCCCTCAAGTAGGCACTTTTATCCATCTGCAGCAGGGTCTTGAGGACTGGGGGTAGCTCCTAAAGTGCCTAGTCACCTGCTACAGGAATTCAAGAAAAAGTGGTGCCCTCGAGTCTTTGCAGCCAACAGAGTGGGGTGCTCTTAGCCCGGCTGCAAAACTCACCTACTTATTCACCCTAGAGAATAGGGACAGGCTTTTCTTTCAGACTCCCAGGGGCACCCATCAGCCCCCTGCCTGGCTCAGCAGGTGATCCCCTACCACAGCCAGAGTCCAGTGCCTGCACCAATCACCCATGCCTCTCTAGGACTGGGGGTGAGAGTCTGCATCACACACTTGGTGACCAAGCCTGCACACCCGAGCTGATCCCATACAAGAAAATTTAACAGACTCTGGTGGCACATACTTAGTTACAGAACTAACTACCTGGTGATGGGACATTAGAGATCAAAAGGTGTCAAAAATCAAACTAGTGCAC